CCCGCTGCCACCACCCCCTTGGCCCCCCAGCTCTCACCCTGAAGCGGATGTGGCGGAGCAGGTCGAAGTGCTGGGCGTACATGCGGAAGTACTCCATGATCTTAGAGTTGTGCATGTAGTTGGGGAAGTCCTCGGGGATGGGGAAGTCGCTGAAGCACATCATCTCCTTGGAGGTGTTGATGATGACGGAGCGGTAGATGCTGGCACGGCCGTCCTCGGGGTTCTCCTGTAGTAGTGGGTCATGGCTCAGCACTGGCCAGGGGATTGATGGGGAGGGGTGGCCAGGGTTGATGGTGCTGCTCCTTTACATGGAGACTCTGCCCTCAGTCTCATCCAGAGAAACCCACCGTGGCTGGCAGCATGCCACCCCACCAGACACCACGGATCCCTGGGGGCCACTGTGCTGACCCCCAGCACGACACGTGGCCGGCAGGGTTTACCTCAAACCTCCAGAGGCCTCCGATGTCCCGGCTCCTCTCGAAGCAGACGGGCTCCAGCCCCTCCTGCAGGCAGGCTTTGATGGCGCACAGCCCGCTGCTGCCCCCGCCGATGATGGCCACCCTCTTTGCCATGTTGGGCTTCACCACGGGATCTCTGCCTGGGGACAGCGCCGGAGAGTGGGGCTGGGGGTTGCAACTGTGCAGACTTTTGGCCTTGTGCACCAAAGAGGCCCCAAGTTGAGAGGAAGCCTCCCAGAAATTTGCCTGGGGTTTTGAAGCAACTGCTATTCCCCCCTAAGTGGGGACTGGCCACTGCTGGGTTTTGTACTATTGTGGTGTTGCCTCTGGATGCCCTGGGGAGAAATGCTACCGAGTGCCAGGCAGCCTGAAAATGTCCCTGCCCATGCTAAGTCCCATCGATGGAGGTACACCAGAATACCGTGCCCCGTCATGGAGACCGACGGCTCCTTCCCAAGTGGGTGACAGTCCCTCTGCCTTGCCCTTCGCCCTCTTCCTTCCCCGAGGTGATGCCCGTCCTACTGTCCCGGTGCCCACTGCGTGCTGACAGCCCGGGGAACACCCTCAGCGGGGACACCCTCAACCGGGACGCCCTCCACCGACCTGCGGCTGGGGGAGCAGCAGCCCAGGGAAGGCGGGCGGCAGGCGGGGAGCCCCTCGGGGGTCTCTGCCGGGTTATCCCGAGCCGTGAGGCCGGACCGCGGCCTGGCTCTGTGGTGCGCAGCGGCCGTAAGCGGAGCCTCCCCCTCCGTCACTCCTCCCACGGCGCCAGGGGAAGGAAGCCAGGAGCCGGCTGCCTCCCGGCCGTCTGCTCTGCCTTTCCGGCAGC